ACTAATTAATCGTTAAAAGTTAGTAAAAACAAACTTTATTTTCAGTAACAACATTTTTCAATTAATCAATATTTAATAGAACGTGATTATGATACAGAATTTTACATTTATTTTCTTTAATTTTCAATAACTTTATTTATTTTAGGTATATAATAATATGATGTACGTCGGCTTTTTTAAGCATATTTTTATTATTATTTTAATATGGATTCTTGATTCTTGAACTATATTTGTTAATAATGAAGATTGATTGTATAATATTTATAATTGAACTTTTTTATTTTCTGGCAAAGTATACCTAGCTAGAATGACTTAAACGTTTCACGAAATAAAAACAATTTAACTCCCTTGTCAGTATGAGCGATTTTACAAAACTTTGTTAATATTTTGTTACATTTTAACATTTTCCTGTTAGTAAGAACTATGAAGTATTTGCAATCATTATTTATGTGTTATAAATTACGGTAGTATAAACGCATTAAATAAAATTGGAATATTACTTATTATATAGAATACTAATTAAATTTCATTATATTAGTATTCAAAGAATAAATTGAAATAGTTTAGTTAAGTTTCGATATTTGTACGATATATCAAAAAATTATACTTTGTAACTAATTTAAAAACCATTAAAATAAGCAAAATGTTCATTTAAAATATTTTGTAACATATATTATATATAATATATATTAATGTATAATGTATATAGCTAAAATTAAAAGAGACAAATCTAAAAATAAAATCACAGCATGAAAAATGTCTAAGCACCTTGAATTTTGGATATGCGCCGAGAACTTTATAATTATTGTTTTTAATCCAGCATCAACCATAAGATAAATTTTCTTCGATCGAAAACTTTTAAAATGATCTTCATGCAGAATATTATAATTATATTTAAGGGTTTCGATTCATATTAGTATAGGTACCTAACGGTTATTATATTACGCTATGTATAATTCGACGCTAACATTCGAATGCAAAACGTTAACCATATTTAACAATAATATAGTATTGATTAAATGCTTACTTGTTCGTATAGTGGTTATTAAGATTTAAAATAAATTATAAACAAAAATACAATACGATAATAATGACGATGATAATAATATTCTAATATAACGAGAAAATGATAATAATATTATACGCGTAATGGTGTTTGCGCATTATAAACCACAATAATTGCGGTCTACGGACGTGTTTTATGGTATCTTGCCGAGTCGGTAGGTATTGTGTTAATGTGTCTGTTATTACGCGATAATAGTCGCGTATAATAATAGATCTTGATTTATTTCCAGTCATAAAGTACGTGGGTAGTTCAACGAGAATGAAGTTTGAATAATCCCGCACAATACACGATTTTCGCAAACATAATAATTACTCGCGTTTAGCTCGTTGAAATGTATCGAATACAATTTGAAATTAAACGACCGTATACCTAGGTAAATGTGTACACTGCACAGGTAGGAACATGAATATTAATGTATAGAACTTGTATTATAGTAGCGAACGATTAATTAATCGAACCTCTCATAAAACATTAATAGGTACCGGAATGGCGTTTTTAACTGTTCATTATCATTCCGATGAATGACTATAAATGATATTCTATACGTATAATAGTGCAAAAAAACACGATGTTGGATAAAAAAAATTGTTCGTTTTAAATGCATTTCATTAAAAAAAAAAGGTTAATCGATAGCGTCCACCATTCAGAAAATTACATATTATTAAAATCGAATTTTTTATTTGTCGTACCTTTTATTTTTATTGAGCCGTAAAATACAATTCTCCATTCATCGAAAGCGCACAAAGAAAACTCATAAATTCAAACCCACGGTTGTGAAAAATGTGATATATAAAACAGGATACCAATATCATGAAACCGTATCGTCGGAAAAAAAACATATATTATTATCCATCGAGCTTTTGACCAATTTATCAACACCTAACGCCCTACAAAAACATCATTTATATTATATTATGTCTGTGTATAGGAAGTAATGACTATATACATATATTTAGCTTTAAATAAGACTTGGATTATTTGCAACTACCATACTTTGAGAGTGGCTGAATTGGTTCCCATTTGGCTGAATCGGTTCCCGTTTGAAAAAGGTATTTTATTAAGTTAAGTCGAGTTGGGTCATCCCGTTTGCGTCCAGGTCAAATAGTTACAATTTTCATTTCTAATCATTCTTTTCAATATGAAATAATTTATGTGTATATTGGATATTTGAAAGAGAAAACTTTATTTATGACAACAAATAGTCTTTGATTGCGTTCGTGATACATACATAATAACAGACAGTACCTTTCCACCGAAGATTCGGGCTAGATTTGACAAAAATATTGATTGGACTACAAATTGTTGAGAATCGTTCCATTCAAAGCTAAATAAAGAATTCTGTATTATAATTTACCTGTTTTATTTTGCATACCTAAGTAATGACTGGTTGAAACTTCCAAGCCTACTTTAACCTAAGATAGGTATCACTGATCATATTATTTTTCTTTGTATACTAATATACTATTCATACAGGATAAATGCGTAGATATTTGAGAATTAAATAATTAACGAGGTAAAATTGCATTATTTAAGAAGTCTTTTATAAAGCAGGTATTAAGAACCCATAGGACTATAATTACGTCTTATGTATTGATTTTACAATCACTATAATACTATCACAATTATTTATAAGTAATAAATTAGGCCTCTTAAGAATTTGGAGTTTAATCATCGTTATCTGTAAACTTTTGTAGTACAAAAACAAACGAAATAAATTATTGTAATTTCCCAATGCTGATTAAATAAATCCGTATTATACCTACACCCATATTATATAATAACCCCGTTTGTCTTAACGAAATAAAGTTTAAAATAAGTTACCTCCCGAATGTTATTCTTATACATTTTAAAGCGATTAAAAATCACAAGTTTCTTAAAATCTTAAACTAAGATTTCTTACTACAGTATTATTAAAATTGTTTTTGTAAAAGTTTTATAACTCGAGTTTTTAATTTATGTAACTATAGGCTATTCGTTTATAAATCATCACACTCTCGTATTATCATGTACAAACTACGAATGTGAATTATTATTGTGATACATAGTCGAATAGCGTTTTGATTAACAAAATACATAATATAAAACCGGCCGCCTACTTTTAATAGTTCGAAAAGTTGAAAATATATTATCTGTTGTCTTGTATATTATACTTTGTAAAGATAAATACAATTAAAAGTTTCGACAGTCCTACAACACAAACACTATACATTTAATCTTTAGCAGTGGTTATTTTGGGTTTATGTGTGTGTTCGACTAACGTTGCGCAGTTATTATCATAACTCAACTTTTGTACTCATTCTCAGAACCGAAACTTTTATAAGCGACTACCTACGAATTTCGTCGAAAAAACAAAGCAGTGCAAAAAAATCTCGGAAAGTGATACGGAATTACTTTAAACACGTTAGTCGAAATATCTGCACGCAACGGTATGGCGTTTTATTTTACCGTAATGGGTTATAGTTGTCTCGTCAAAAAAAAGTATACATATTATAATATTATTATATTATATTGTAATAGCAATAATAAATCGGGGGCATAATACATCATTAAATAATAATATAAATTATAATGTACTAATGTATATAATTTCATCAAACACACACACAATACTTTGCGTACTCGTGACGAACGGTGTATCATAGTATATTGTTATTATTTAATCGCGTTTTATTATATTTTTACTTGTTCACAATACGTACGACACCGTTCTGTCACAACTATTAGGTACCGTCGAATGGTACAGACCGTCACCGCGATTTGTATTCGAATAAAAAACATTGTTCCGTCATACTCTATTTTTCCTTAGTCAAAACAATACCCTCTTCGTATCCAAACACGTTTCAGAAAGTTGACGAGCCCGTATTATGGGTCATGGTTGTTAAAAAATGGATTGTGTGTGAGGGTGGGGGTGGATTACGGGCTGTAAACGATTGTTTATTGTAAGCGTATGATGGACACGAAAGCTTCTCGGGCGAACCTCGTTTTCTGTGAGCGGGGTGTTGGAAAATCCAGTTTTATCGAATGCGAGCTGGCCAAATGTTCAGCTCATAATCTATAAACATGTGTGAGTGATGTCCGCAGAGATTTATCTGCAGAATTTTGGGGAGGGGGTTGGGCTATTAGAACCACGGCGTTAACAGTAATGGTGATGAGCATTACTTTTATACTCTATTTTAAAGTTTTTTCATTCTAATCTCTGACTTACGATTTATAACACGCCAATAAACGACGGACTGCAATTGCGACCCTCGAGATTTTGATAATATTGAACGTTTTACATGCAAACCGTACTTGGCAACACAATACCTATATTTTGGCACATCGGCGTGTCCGCCGATAAAATAATAATTAACATTTTTATGTAATATTTTGCCCGTACAAAGTAAGTGCATTGCGGCGGCGCTGACCGTGAGAGACCGGCCAAGTGAAATAATAATTCCAACTTTATTCAAATACACTCATTATATAATATTATTGCAATGAATCGTTAATAATAGCACAACGATAACGATGACATTGCTGCGATAATATCATAATATGTGAGACCATTACACGATCTGCGTTTAGAGGTATTCGCGGCACGTGGTTTTCCCCCAGAACATGATTTGCGCGGTCAACCCTTCGCCACTGTAAAAACCCTCTTCGAACGACCACAAGAACAGTACAACATTAGGCATACTTATATCGTATTAATAACTACACAGCCCATGTATATCATCGCGAAAATCGTACAGATATCACGTTTTTATTCGTACCTATGTATAGTTACTCTTCAAAATAAATCATATAAAGGTATACAATAAGGTGTTAGGTTTCAGGTGTGCGGGACAGCGTAATATTATTATTAATGTTATTATAATAACTATATGTTGACGACAATGATGAATGATGTTGATAATGACAATAATATTATAATATGTAATGTGACTCTTACCAATATCCGCCCGGTAGTGGTCTGTCCGGATATCAGTTCGCCCGCCCAGTCTTTGGCCTCTGTCATGAACGTTCCCTCGAACTCCTGTTTGCCCTGCCGCTTCGGCTCTTTTTTGGGCTCGCTGTTCGGGCAACCGGGCGCCGCGAGCTCGGCGGGCTGCTTGCGCGTGAACAGGAACGCGAAGAACCGCCATAGGAGCACGATCAGCAGCCCGGCGAGAAACGTAAACACGCTGGACAGCAGGAAGCACCACCACTTGCGGTCCTGCAGGCACTCGGTCTTCGGCGGCATCGTCGTCGTCTGCACCGGGCATAGCTGCGCGCAGCATTGCCTTTCCGGAAGCATTGTACCTCGCCGGGGTCGTCCGATCCGGAAACATCAAATACCACGGTGTGGCCAACGTCTCGTGGTCGCCGCGTACCACACGAGTGGTATCCGGCCGGCGCGCGCGCTGTTACCTCGCGGCCATGGCCAGTCGGTGGTTCCGATGTTGTCGGTGGTGCGGGTGTCGCCGCTGCCTCGACTTGATCAGCGGGCGGACGGAACGGGACGAGGGTGGCGGCCGGCCACGCGACTGGACGCGCGCCGTGCGTGCCAATGGGCCCTGCGCCGCTGTACAGTAACCGATCGTTGCAGTGCGGACCTGATCCGGCGACGGTGACTCGAGACTCGACGAAGACTTCCGCTGCAGATGTCGTCGTATAACAATATATTATTATGTTCTTACGCAGTAAGCACCTCGGCAGACAAGTAAAATACTAAATTCGCGCGTGCCCATGCACGCCCGTGTATATATGAATATATTATATAGGAATTTCGTACTTAACGAATATTAAAATGTTCTTGTATTACGCGTGTTTCAAAGTTATTTTGTGTGTGTAAATTTTTTTTAAAAAATTTTTTCTCCGTACAACAAATGATATCATGCCCATGTAGTTACGATATTATTATCATAGTGTCCGGCGTCGAGCGGGCGGACGGTCACACACACACACACATCACACACACGCCACACACACACACGCACACACACACGCACACACACACGCACGCACACACGGTGTATTCTGCGCGCGACACCGTCGATGGGTAACGAGCGACTGCCGCGGATCGGCTGCTTGTCCCCGGAACTTGCATGTATATAAGCCTCCGGCCGCCCGCCCACCGCCAACCATCGCGCGCCGTCCCGCCGCCGCCGCCGCGCGCGCGCGTAAGAAAACCGACAACCGTGCGACGACAGCGGCGGCGGCGGCGGCGGCGCGCGCGCGGGTCGCTTTTGTGTGTGCAGTCACACGGGCCGCGCGCCGCCGGGATCAATACTGACCTCTAATACCGGACCGGCGCGCTCGCTCGCTCGCTGCTCGCTGTCTCGCCCGCCCCTTATATGCCGGTGGTGGCGTCGGCCACACGGCCCCTTGACGGGGCGGCCGCGGCGTTTGTGCTACGCGTTTCACCCGAGTATCTTTTAAATTTTTTTTTTTCCCACACCCAATAATCTACAAGCGAAACCTACCCTTCGCCCTGACGCCACCTCTGAATAGCGGACAAAATTTCAGTGACCCACAGTGTCCACGGATATGTTTTACAATTCAGAGGTTTCCCTCTGTATTAATGTATTTTACTTAATAATATCATTATGCTACAAGCGCTCAGAGATTTTAATAATATAATAACAGTCTATACCATCCACCATTGGAAGATTCGGATTTGTATGTCGACGATCGACGGCCTGGCATTATAGCCGGTAGTCGCTCAAGCACACGAAATGGTCGACCCGACGGGAAAATTCCTTTATAAATCCTGCGTCCTGCTAATTGTACGGGGGCGGCCTTGATCGTGGTGTACGGTCGTATATCGTCGTACGCGTTCAGGTGAGTCGTTTTCGAGTGTGGGGTAGGCATGTTGGGCGGTCGTGTGCGTATATAGGGTAGTGGGATGATAACGGTCGTGTCTGTGTGTGAGCGCTATCAGGTTGGAGAGGAGGGTCGGTCGGAGTGGGTGTTCTACTACAGCATATACTACGTCGTATTATAGTATAGTCTTCGTCGCCGCCGCCGCCGCCGATGCCCGGGCAAAACGTTTCGGGGTCACGGAGAGGCGCTCCAGCGACGGCGGCGGCGTTCCAGTTCCGCCCTCGCCGTATTTGGGTTTTCCGCGTGGTTCAATAGGCTGGACGCGTTCCTGCACCGGGCGCCGCGACGATGAGGGGGGCGGTGGCTGCCGGTTGTGTGCGAGAAAGGGCGGCCCCTCGGGGTAACGGCGTACAGTCGGTTGGGTTGTGTGAGAGTGTGTGTGCGTGTGCGTGTGTGTGTAAACGCGTGTGTGCGTGTATGGTGGAGGGCTGTGTGTGTGTGTGTGTGGGGGGGGGGGTCAGGGGAGGGGTATACTTTTGCTGCTGGTCGCGGTGGTGCAGACGACGGTGGTGCCCTCGCTATGATACCGCGAGCTGGTGTACGGTGGCGGGGACAATTGGATTTTCACTCTCAAAGTTCACGCGCGCGTTTATTATATATTATACGCCACGCCGAAACGATATCGTCCGGTCCGGTCCCTATATATACATGTATTATGTGATATATTATGTATATGATATACGCACGTTCGAGCGGATGGGATTTCTTTTTACGTTTTGGCATTTTATTTATACATAATGTATATCTATATCAACACATTTCTTTTTACTTTCAGTGCGACGACTGGTGACGACGACGACGACGAGCGTGCATATCCCGAGAGGGAGAACTGCAACACGAGCGCGTCCCGTAATAAAGGTGTACCATAATAATATCATTGTATTATATATTATGCCTCCGTAGTGGGTGTGTATACTATACACATCATACTATATTATGTATGGGTGTATTAATAATACGTCTGCGGTAGACGACTGCACGCGAATAACATTTTAACTGCACTAAACCTACACTGGTATAGCGAGTACGTCGTATAATATCCGTGTAGATATACATGCACGACACGATTACAGCGCCATAAATACATGTATATGTATATATGTATATACATATATATTGTATACATTGTGTGTATAAGTAAGGCACCCACACAGACGCGAAAGTACGCGATATCGAGGTCGGTGCAGGCGGGGTGTAAAATAATTCCATAAACGTTTTGATAACGACCCAGTGTTTCGGGGTCGACCCACATTCGCGAAGTGATTTCGCCGGCGAAACGGCGCTCTTGCCACGGCCACAGTTGAGCTACGCCGCACGTTTACATTATATGTGTTTATATACATATGGACTTTCTGCAAGAGGAAAAAAAAGAAAACTAGAGTTTTCAACTGTACGCTCGAATCTTGCAATATATGCGTGTCGGGTGTGTGTTTATGTATATTGTATACGGAGTTTCCACTCTGATAAATACATTTTACTTCCCGTATTACACGTCCTAGGTGTAAAATGAAAAATTTTCTAATAATACATCTATGAACATCCCTTCTTTGACGATCATACAGCTCATATCAAATTTCAAGAAAACAAAGAGAAGATAACAGAAATATTTTCTACCTATCGGTTTGTGAGCTCTAAAAAAATTACTTCAGGGTATATGATATACAAAAATTGATTGAATAACTGATCTAATAAATCATTTAAATAGGGGTTAATCATGGCTACAGTATGATGGCCAAAGTTTATTCAAGAATATGATTATTTAAATCTATTCATTTAAACTGTACCACCTACAGTAAAATTATGTACTTATACTAGTTATGCTAGGTATAAAAATAATGTTACCTATCTCATTATTCTAATATTCCTAATCGTATATGAGAAATTAAATTTTACATCGTTTTTAGATATTTTTTTACCAAAATTAATTTAAAAATCTGTAAACACTATAACAATATGCTTAGATTAAAATATTCAATGATATTGTTTTTGATTACAGTTTTCTTTAAACATGCTTAGCATAGCAAAAATTTAAATTAGATACGTACAAGTATGCAGTGAATTTAATTTGTTTTCAAGTTTCAACTGAAACTTCAATAGCTCTTCTCTTTTGTGACAAAAAATCCTTTATCAAAATTAATTGAAGTGGAATTGGTAATAAAAAAAATTACATATAACATAATTATGTATTATATTATATTATACATGTAATCAGATTTACCGACAAATAAAATATAAAAGAGAGTTAAAATGGTTGAACTTAAATAATGTTGTCAATACAACACGTGCCTGGTTTGATTAAAAATAAACAGGTTAGGTTAAAACCATATTATATTTTTAAATTATAAGTATGTAAAAAATACATAACTTAATATGAATACAATATGTAAATATGTTATTATATCTTATTGCCAAGCTGTCATAGATTATCAAATCGATAAAAAATAAAACGAAACCATCATAATAGTTTTTCAATAAATTATTATTTAAAAACAATAAATATTAAAATATTATTTTATTATCTAAAATAATATGGCATTTTATTTCGACTTACATCACGAAAATAGACATACTCGATTAAAATCAATACTAAATCTAATACAGCTTCACGTGTTTAACCAGTAGGTAGGTACCGAAAATTATTATTTCATTCACGTGACAAAAATATTTTCCGTTGAGTGGCAATTAACATATTTTATCAAAATGATTAATGAATATTAAAATTTAAGCGAAGTGTTTTGAAAATGAAAAATACTTAGACAATAAATTATAATTTATTTTTGTTTAAAATAATGTATTATACTTTATCATAATTATAGGTTTAACCTAGGAGTATAGTAAACCGTTTGTACCTGTTGTATTTCTAGATTTCATAGTTCGTTATCTTGCTTTATTTTTTAAATTAGTTTATTTTTATGTTGTTCTAACTATCCTGCACAACAGTATGTCCGCAAACACACTCAAGAAAATACATTTTCAGACACTACACCAGTGCACTTCAATGAAGAACCAACATTAACTCTTTTTTATGGACCTTGCGAATAATAATTCCATACCTGTACACACTCCGCAGTGTGCAGTGGCAATATTACGTTTTAACATCCCAATATACTACAAAAGTCTTTATGACAGCTAATTAATTACTGATTTCATAAGTCTCTTGGTACACTTTCTATAATTAAAAACAATGTAACAACCATCGAGTTTATGAAATGGCAACCAATGTCAGTTAAAATAAATTACAAAATACATCCTTAATGTATACACAATACACATATATTATACAAGACATCTATTTGTAAAATACCAATAAAGTAATATTCTATGTCCTTATTTAATTTCGAAGATAACAAATGTTGAAACAAAAAAACCGAATTATATTTTTCTCTAGTTCATTTACTTTATCATCAGATTAGTTCACAATAAAATCTTGCAAACATTGTCACATTGACGGTGTATATGAATAAAACCGACGCCCAAAATTGTTCAGTTTGATGTTATATTATTATACCACACACAGTTATTAACATTAATAATAAAACTTACAGTGGATTTCTGAAATCAAAAATTTATTGATGCTTGTTATTTGTTTTTTGCAAAGTAATAATAATACACTATTAAATTCGATTAATCATGATGTAATACAAACATTTTAAATTACTACATATTATTCAACGCTTGGGTTAATTTATCCGTGTTATATCAACGTACATAATTAAAGTACACGATAACCGTTAAATAGGATTGTTCGGACTTTATTTTATTTTTCATCCAGCACAAGTGCGTATATTGCAGCCGGTGAAATGCTATTATTAAAACACCCAAACTCGTTTAATAACTAAATAGAAAACAATATAGTTATGGGTTAAACCTTAAATAAATAATACGTTCATTAAATATTTATATATCATTACGCACTTTATGAATCAGTTATTTCTAGTTGGGTAAGATCAAACAATTGAAAACAAATTTAAAACGCAACGTGTAAAATATCTTATTTAATTTATTGTTGAATTTATTTGTTCAGTTATTTTATTATTAGCTGCAATAATATTAGGTTCGAATTCATTTAAACTGTGTCAGTATTATAATTTTTCATCAACATTTTTTTAACCATCAAAAGTTTTTTTTAGAAATCATATCTATACACCAATATTCTTTACCGGAAATACAAATATTAAACTAAGTATGTATTTTTTCCATTGA